GTCTGCCCACTAGACCGTCTCATACTATGACCATGCTGGGACCGTGTCAGGCAAAAAAATAATCTTTGTATCAAAAAGTATGAGATTATGCCCACTATATGCCTATGGCACGCGACTTTGCCGAGCCGGTGCGCGCAGACGGTGAAACGGTGAGCATACGGGTTTTAACTGCGTATGATGTCCATTCTAAGTCCGTTTTAAACATGTTGCGGCTTGTCTTCTAGTGGTAATATTTTCTTTTAAATTATATTTTTTTAAAAGACATGAACCTAGTAACGTCGTGATCGACTGATGTTATTCTTACCGGTGGTAGGGCTCTGTCTAGCCCCCTCCCACCAACCCCCCACCCTACGTGCGTTCACCTTGTCGTGGTAGAGGGGCTCATTAGTGCCCCGGCAACACATCCAGGCGCGAAGCCAAGAAACGCACAGGGAGGTGGCCCGCTTCACACGTTCAGTGTTTTTTTTGTGAAAGAGTAATATTAGTAAGGTTATAAGTCCCCCCCCCCCAACGTGCGTTCACCTTGTCGTGGTGGGGGGGCTCAGTAGTGCCCGGCATCCAACCGGGCGCGAAGCTAAGAAACGCACAGGGAGGTTGCCCACTTCGGTGGGCGGTGGGAGGTGGCCCTCTTCGGAGGGCGGTGTACCATGCGGGTTGCTCCTGGTTCTTCTGTGATAGCAGAGTGGACCTTGGAGCAACCCTGTGGTTGTTGTGGTCTGCTTCGGCAGACCTGCCGTCGGAGCGTCGTAGTTGAATGCGTAAGCGATCCTGCGACGCCCCATTAAGACGGGGGAAGGTTTGGTTGGGTTTTAGTGGGTAGTACTGGCTTCGACGGTGAGTCCCACACTTTGTGCGTAAATGCATTTCCCAACGTTAAAAAAAAAGGACTCTGTCAAGCCTGAGGAGTCCGACTGGACCACCCCCTTATCTATTTCACCCGCCGAGCAACAATGATTACATTGTAGTGTTCCGGTTTGAAGAATAAAGTAGCCAGCGCAATTACAGGCAAGAGGTATATCATCTTAGTCCTCACAGTGACAACGCACCTGCGGTTCTGCATTCTTGTTACATAAAACCTAAGTGCATGAACCGTAGGTTTTATGGGCGACAGGTACCGCTTTCCATCAGGTGGGCTGTCTGCTCGTTTGTCACTGAATACCATAAAAAAAACTTTCTCTTTCTTCTTCGTCTAAAACAATGGCTATCATTGTTAATTCTCTGTCGGACAATGGTCTAATAGCCATCGTATAGGTATAGGAAATTAATTGTCGTAACAAAAATATTCACTCGCTCTTTATGACGCGGCTGCCTCACGCGAAAACGCAGGTGAACTACTACGACTGAGAAAACGGGAACCACACGGATATGATACGCGAATGATACGTTCTAGTAGGCATAGTAGTCCGTGTTGCTTATTTCTGTGCCTGATACGTTCATAGCACGGTCATGGTATGAGACGGTATAGTGGGCAGACTCCTTAATGAGTGGAATATCATCCTCATCCTCCTCAAGTGCTTTAACTTAGTTTACTGATTGAGTTTTTTGAGCTGATTGAGAGAGTTCAGTTTGCTTATCAACAATTTAAATAGTTGCGAAGTAAATATATGTAATTATATTTTTCAATTATAATTATCAACCCATATTTATCTTGATAATTATCATGATAATTATCAATGATAATCGTTTCGAACCCTGCTTTGTGGTAATGTGGGTTAGGCTATTCTTGCACTGACGGTCTGAAATTAAGTAGAGTTTATGTGAGATAGAGTCTATGTAAGTAGGTACCTATATATAGACAGATAAAAACAATAAACACATATCATTTAACTAAGCCGATATTTTTAAATAAAACGATAATATAAAAAAAACATTCATCGAACATATCACGATTCTTTCAAAGAAATTATAATCACAATGAATTTATTCATTTTATCCGAATGAGTTCATATTTTAGAAGGTAAAAGTTATTGCCGTACCAATTGTTTCTATAATAATATTTATATTTATTATGTTATAAAAATATACTTAGTTGCTGGAAATATTTTCATGAGATACCCCTTAAACTACTTTAGTAAAAAAGAAAAGGTTATTATGAATAATATATGTAAATGTTTTATTATAATATTATATGAATAAATAAATAAATAATACGAAAAACATTTTTAAACAAATTTCAAATTGCTGAATTTAATATGTTAAAAATTAAAATATAGTACCTACTTATATTATTATATGTATGAAAATATACCTACTAGGTACATATTATTATATTTTTATTATTTTAAATCTTATTATAAAATTTACTTGTCACATAAATTATAAATAATTGTTTAAAATATTATGATTTTAAGTTAATTAAAGTAGGTATAATAATTTCCAAATTATGCATACAATTTTGCCATGAACGAAGTGGCTAATTCGTTTATGAATTTTGCGTACCTATTCTGTTTCGTTAAAAAACTACTCGTTCATGTATGTATTAGACTTTATTCTTCTTCTTTCTTCCATCAGATTTTTATCTATAATACACAAATAAGTAAATTTATACATATAATAAAATTCTTAGTCAAAAAAAGAAAATCTTATTTAAAAAGTCATTATTATTGATACCGAGGCCGACTCTATAGTTTTTAGAATTTTTCTTTGTCTGTCTGTCTGTATCGGCATCACGAGAAAACCACTGGACAGATTTTGATGAGGTATGATGATAGCTGGTTATCCGGGTCAATTTAAAGGATACTTTTTACTTTTTATCTCATCTCTGAGAAATCTATACTAAACTATATAACGTGACGAACCAGAGCGGAGCGAGGGTGAGTCGCTAGTTGTACATATAGTACCTATAAATACGCATTTAAAGATTTTTCTGAGGTTTCCCAAATTTCCAGGTTTAATTTTTCTAGTTTTTATTTTCCAAAAAAGTTATACAGTCTTTTAAGAACATTTTAATTACAAAATTAGTCAAATCTGTCAATCCGTTCTCAAGTGATGTAGGTACCTATTTACCAACGAACAAAATTTCATTTTTATTATACTCAAAAACTTTGATAGTGTATTAAACTAGACAAGATAAAGTATTAATCATACTGAAGTGACGTGTGAATGTAACGTTTAATTTATATACACTTATACAGTATGTATAATATGTTTTATTTTTCTGTAGGTATGTATGTACCTACCTAGGTATGGTTTACCTTTCACTTTAATTTACAATTAACTTGACACAATATAAGTAGATTTAATGATATAATTGTAACATTGGTTTAACTAAATAGTGATTCACGTGAATATAGAGTGAAAATGCTCGGGGTATTTTATAATGTAAAATATGATCGGTCTACAAAGTCCCTTTTGTTTGAATTAGGTAGGTACAATAAGTAATAAGTTTTTTTAAATAACGAAAAAAGTATAAATAATTCATTATTTCACCCGCTCCAAAACCCTTCCGCTCATAAAAATGAAAAAAATATTTATGTTCGCTTATGAAACTTCAAAGTCCTTTCAAAAGGCTATTCAATATTTAAGATAATATTACAAATGATATTATTTACACTAAAATTGTTTATATAATATGATAAGTCGTAACTTATCATCATACGGTAATAACATTGCAATATAGCAAAATAAAATACCTTATTAAAAAATGAAATACTATTAACCTTTGCAATTTTATATCGAAGAAAATATTTAAACAAATCGATTTAACTACACAGCTTTAAAAAATTAGCCTTTTATTCATCTAATGTGATTAGAGCTTATTTCAGAAACTGTAGAGAACGGTTAAAACAGCTGCGAAATCTTATTTGCAGGCTAATAGCTTCACGTGGGAGGACTTAAGAGATATAATGCTTTGAAGGTTGTTAGAATTTTAGTAATCCTATTGCCTGATGTCTGTGAGTGGAGATCTGTCAACCCGTTGCTTTGTGACGCAGCGGTCCCGCGGCGGGGAGTCGTAGATAATACAGATTAGATGTATATCTGAAGGCATGACATTGTTTAGCTGCCTCAGGTAGGTCTCCTGACGGAGACCACGCGAAATGAAGTGCTCGAAACAATGCACAAACAATGTTATTAGCTGTAATGCGATTATCTTCCTTAAAACTGATTCAGATTAAATATTTGATTTATGAATGTCCAAAACTGTACCTACATAAAAAAATGTTTAAAAATATTTGTGTTTATATATGGGTTATTTGATGGATTATAAAGTTGATTTAAACACGTATGTACATACGTATACTTTACGTACATACATACATATATAGCATATAATATTTTGCTAAGATTTTATTATACGGAAATATTTTTAAAATGATGATATTATACAATAACTAGGTATTTCAAATTTTTACCTATTTTAAAAATAGTTGTGAACATCCATATGTAAACAAAAGTAATTTAGTTCTTAAGCAAAGATTAAAGTAGTCTCACCTACAGCTTCGAGAAACTGGTTTTATCATTCATAAAACTATTTTAATAAACTATCGATGCTAAACCTTAGTAATAAAAGAGATTGGAGCCTGTCTAACAAATAAACTAAAATTAAATATACACGAGCACAATTGGAATTTTTGTCTCAGGCATATAAAAGTGTCCTATAAATTTACCCACAGTTTAATTTAATGTCCAAAAGTACCTGCCTCACATTTTTTTATTATAAATAAACGTTCGATGCCGGTTATGGGTGCTCGAATGTGTATTATTATTTTGAGAAATGGCTTTAAATTTGTCCCGAGAGGTTACGATCACCTTGCTTCGGAACTGGATTCATATTTAACCCTACTTATACGAGGAATGCTACGGCGAATCTAATTTTATTACAGTCATGTAATTAATATACTAATTTTATTTTATTTCTTTATAACAGGTCGACATAGAAAAATTGAAGAATGCTGGAATGAAAAATTCGTTGGACTGAGAAATCTTAAATTTATCGTCATCGGTCTCGAAGACCACCAGTTCAGGAGCATCGTCATCAGCGGGAGGGTCCCGCCGCGTGGATGGTGGCGGGCGAATGGGGCTATGCGCCGGTGTCGGCCACCCCCGCCATGAACGCCTTCTTGGAGACCAACCATGCGCACCTCGCGACCTACGGGCTGAGGGTGTCGCCCCAGCCGGGATGTGGCGTCGGACCACAACCCCGGGCCGCTGCGCCGCATCCTCCTCCGCACCACCCACCGCACTACCAGCCGTACCCTCTCCACTCCTACCAGACGGGTTACCTACGAGACTACGGTGGTTGTGGCGAACTCTTCCCCCAACAACCAATAGAACAGAGTTGGGATTGGCGAGGCGACGTACACTATCAAGGCGGAGCACCGCCGCTCGTCCCTCACGCGCACGCACATGCACCGCACGCCTTCCTACGATATGTACGAGCCCCACCGCGTCGTGATATGAGATGTCAGTGGCTAGATCCAGAACAGCCACCACCTAGAAAACTATGTAACAAATTATTTTCGAGCATGCATGAAATTGTGACACATTTAACGGTGGAGCATGTCGGTGGACCAGAGTGTACGACACACGCGTGCTTTTGGCAAGGATGCTCTAGGAATGGAAGGCCTTTTAAAGCCAAATACAAACTTGTGAACCATATACGCGTGCATACCGGGGAGAAACCATTTCCTTGTCCTTTTCCTGGTTGCGGTAAAGTGTTTGCAAGATCAGAAAACCTCAAAATACATAAGAGAACCCATACAGGTAAGAAAAATCAGTACGCTAATATTTTTCTGCGCAATGAAAATTAATCTAGATAATGCCAGAGGTTTTGATATTAAGGGTTTGATATTTACAAAACACCAATGTCTATCAATATATATAATAATAGGTATACATAAGTATAGTCTGTATAAATCCTTTAAATGGTGCCCAAAAAATGGAAATATTATATTTTCCCCATAATATTATTACAATACTTATACATAAAGATACAACTAACACGACTTAATTAAAAGAGATATTTAAAAAAAAAACTAAATATATGCTACATATATGCTACATCTAAGAATTTAAAATTAAATTATTTAAAACATGCTATTATTTAACCTCGTTAATCTAAAGTTTACAACCAATAACTGTCACCTATATAGTAAGATGTCGTCGCTATCCGATTGTACATGATTGCGTCGATCTGGCGAAACGTTTCGTTTCTCATTAAATCATAATCAACCGCCCCCCGCGGCTGTTGCTGGTCGCTGAGGCTTTACAGATGCTCTGTGCGATATGAGGCACGTCCCACAATAGAACACCAATACTGGATAAATGTAATAGTATCGAATACAAAGTATCATTTAAAAATCTTTGTCACACGTTCTGAACACAAACAAAGCGTCTAACGGGGCCCTTGTAATAACCTCAGTCTTCTTGTGGAGTCCGTTTCTTGGTATGGTCAATCGACAAAAGTCGTCCGAGACATAACTCTATTTTCAATTTATTATTAGTGGAAAGATTCATCGGCATTGTGTACTGTGGAATAAAAAAATATGCCATAAATTAAAATGTCTAGTTCCGTCGGCTCTCTTCCTCGCTGCCGTCTCTCTCGCACGCTCGAGCATTGTAAGTAGTGTATTGATACTTAAAACTTTAAATATCGATTTTTAAGGACTGGTCCAGGAATTCGTTCAGCGTGACGAGAGTACGGACATCTGCTATTATATTTTTTTTAACCTTTACTGTCTAGTATTGCGTCCCAACTTTTGTCCTGTGCCCCCGTCAACTATTATCTCATACGGGCTTGTGAATAGAGCGGTGTTTTTTGTGGGTAAGTTTGAAGAATTGTTTTATGGGTGACTATAAATAACTCTGAATGTCCATTAAGCAACAGAGAACTGGAAGCTTAGAGCTGTATAACATTAATTAGTTGAGTGCAAATAATATTAGAACTGCTGAGCTAAACCACAGAACAGTTATAACTCTATTAATTGCTTAGGTAGAATTGTTTTTAAAAATATTGTTTTTTTTAACAATGGTAATCTATCAGTGATATTCTAAGCAATCTAAATTATACATGATATATACACCTAAATTTTTCTAGCTAAAACAAATGACTAAATAAATAAAAAAATCGTTTTTTTTCCCCACGGCGAATGTAACTAATTAACAATAGAAATGCACATTTTATAACCTTAGAATAATAACGCTATTATATAAGTTTATAACTAACTTAAGTCATCAAAATCGAAGATGAATTAGAAGTATCAATATTTTAATACATTCAATAAATATTTGCCTCTGAGTAATTGATATCTATTCATAAGAAGGAAGCGTGTTTAAAAATTTATTTATTAGCGTTCCTAACGGTTGAGTCTTAAAGTTTTTAACATTGAATTAGTATAAAAAATTGACATTATAAAATAGTTCCTACTACATAATATATAATTTTAAAAATGTATACTCAACAATGTTACTTCCTTATCCACTTTATACTGTTCATAATTTTGCATTAATTTAATATAAATTTATCAAATATAAAATTTTAATAATTTCGCTGGATTTGGTGTCTAGTTAAAAATACGTAATTCATCCAAATTTGCCAAGCAGTCTATTTAATAAGCACTTATTATATCCTTACAATTATTGTATCATCAAATATAAAAGATGAAAATGAAATAATAATATAATTAAAAATAAATAAACTAATACCAGACATATTTATTATGAATCGATATTCATATTTTTTATGTGCAACAAAATTTTGTCCGTTTTGATGTTATCGAGTTTCGGTGGCGATTCGAATCTTCCATGTAACCGATATTTTTATAAACTCGTCCCGGAGTCGAAGCGTAACGTGACACCATGGAAATCAGTAGCAAAATTTATTTGCTATAACACCGTGACGTATCAATTTGTTATGTGATTTATATCTATATTGTATTAATAGATTATATATTTGATACTTATTTATGCTTTAATACCTTTAATAGATTTAGAATAAAATATAATGTACGGGTGCGATGGTATCACAGTTCGGAGGCCAAGATCTTCCTTGAAAACGATATTTTTATAAGCTCGAATGGAACAACGCGTCCGCGTCGTCCGAATGTAATGCGACACCGCATGGAAGTCAGTAGCAGAATTTATTTGCCGCATCGTCTCTATAACGTATCAATTTGTTTAAACGATTTACATCTAAACATTGGATATCATTTTGACTATTAAATCACTGCTTTGAAATTTAACAAACCGGTATTTTTGTTATAAATTATAATACAATTATTGAAATAGTAGACTTATTAAGAAACACAGATAAAATATTAAAACAAGATACCTATAGGAACCTGCATTGTTAATTTTCGCATAATATTCTCATGCTGTCAAACTGTCAGAACCGCAAAGGTCATTAGGTAACATGCTGAAAAAATCCATAACTGATTAAAGACTAATAAACTCACAACTAAAATAAAAATAACATCGAATTAGACGAATAGTTGGCAAATACCCGTTTAAGTAATAGCTGGCCGCAGGGTTGACCCGCGCGTCAAGCCGCCGGCGGCGACCCGCCCACACCGCGACGATTACTTCATTTTGTTCAAAGACTTTGAAAGCTCGAGTTATTTTACACCTGCTCATTGTTTTATAAGATCTAGTTAGTTGAATACATTCCATTATAGTCTTATATAATACGAGCTCTATGAATTTATTAACCTAACTTTACCTACTTTGAAAAAATTACAAGAAAATTGAATTAAATTGCAGTTAATTTTGATAGCTTGTTATATTCGATACATAATAAATAAATAAAATCTTTTTAAATAACATGAATTTTTCTGCACTAGTTTAAAATTAAATACATAAACAATTTTGCTACTCTTTAGGTATTTGCTCTTTAGTACTAGGTATATAATATTTAATAGGTATATCAATATTTTGAACTGTTTTGAACACAGATACCTAATTAGGGTTCAATTTTTAAAACAAATTAAAACAAGATCGCTTTAGTTCTTTAACAAGTCGCTTTAAAAGTTTTCCCTGAATCGACACAACTAGGGGGATGTACAATAGCGTAATTATGATATGATTTTGAAGACGACCCCCGATCAAACGCAGTGCTTGTCTAATATGCCGTATAAAATGACGCTTTCAAAATATTTTGCAAACAATACGGAACCCTTCACGCTCCGCCCCTGTGGTCGATATTGTACGCACCCGTCGAGTGCAGCTCTTCAGGGTTTATTGCTTACTAACATATGCGCAATGCATGGTAAAAATACTATTTTAATGATGAATCGTATTCCCGCTTGTATATCATACGACAGCCGCGGAAATCTATATCTAAGTTGTATCTAATATATTAAGTTGTAAAATTTGTTTGTTTGAACCGGTCCGATGTAAAAAAATATTTTTGTGTATTTATTAGGCTTTCTCACATAACACTACGACCTACGAAAGTGGAGTAATTCCACAAAAAAAAACGACGCGGGCGGAGCCGCAAGAAAACGCTAATATATAATACTAGCATTAACAACAAAAACCAAATTACATACTTACTTAGGTTTTACATATTCGTATGCTCTTACATTGCAGTTTTTGTATTTTTTCTCAGAAATGAGATATTTTCCCGCTGTAAAAATCCTATATGTTGACCCAGATAACTAGCTATCACCATACCAAATTTCGTCAAAATCTCTCCAGTGTAGTTTCCGTGATGCGGTAACAGACAGACAGACAGACAAAAATTCTAAAAACTATAGATTCGGCTTCTGTATCGATAATAATGTCTATTTCAATAAGATTTTCCAAAAAATATTTAATGTACAGATTCGGCTTAGTTACAATTTTATTATAGGTATGTATAGATTTCACGGAATTTCTTCTAACGGAATTGTTAGATTAGTATATTATTTAGAACTATAGTACCAAATTAATTTTATTATTATTCTGTTACATCTATCGTTATTACTAATCTATACTAATATTATAAAGAGGTAAAGTTTGTGAGTTTGTGAATTTGTGAGGTTGTAATCTCTAGATCTAGTGAACCGATTTGGATGAAATTTGGTAAGAAGATAGTTTGAAACCCTGGATAGGACATAGGATACTTTTTATCCCGGACATAATCCCTTAAGGGGGTGAAGATGGGGATGAAAGTTTGTATTTGGAAGCAAGCTAGGGACAAACCCGAGCGAAGCGAAGGTGAGTCGTTAGTATAACATAAAGCTAAAGAATTTTGTAGATTGAACGCGGGCGGGCGTAGCCGCGGGCTCTGCAAATCTATCTACTTATAATAAAATTCTAACTGAATCGAATCTGTGCATTAAATATTTTTTGGAAAATCTTATTGACAACAGTCATTATTATCAACACAAAGGCCGAATCTATAGATTTTTACAATTTTTATCTCTCTGTACGTCTGTCTGTCTGGGAACGCAATACGAGAAAACCACTCGACAGATTTTGATTAAATTTGGTATGATGATAGCAGGTAACCCGGGTCAACATATAGGATACATTTTACTGCGGAAGAATATATCATCTCTGTGAAATCTATACCTACTAAAGAGTAAAGGTCGCTAGTTAACTATAAGTATATAGTATTATCTACATAGACTTTAAAAACTTACTTTATTAATAGTCCTTTCAAATAGTTACTATGTCTTATAATAACAAATACGGTCTGATACTTTTATGCGGAGTTATAAATATTCTTTTAAATTGATGCTATTATATCTACCTAGGGACTTACATATAAAAATATTATTTTA